TTTTAGACAGAGCCTCAAGCTGTCACCCTGGGCAAAGTGCTATGGCATCACAGTTCACAGCAACCTCCAACTCCTGGGCTAAGTGATTCTCTTGCTTCAAACTCCCAAGTAGCTGGAACTACAGGCATCTGCCACAACACCTGGCTATTTTTTTGGTTGTAGTTGTCATTGTTGTTTGGCAGGCCCGCCAGCTCTGGTGTATGTGGCTGGCGCCTTAGTCACTTGAGCAACAGGCATTTTCCCTATTTTCCCTATTTTCAACATGAGCAATAGCAACAGCCATTTTCCCTATTTTCAAACATGAGTGTCTATGGAGGAGTATCTTTTTTTTTTTGAGATAGAGTCTTACTCTGTCACCCTGTATAGAATGCTGTGGCATCATCATAGCTCAAGCAACCTCAAACTCCTGGGCTCAAGAGATCTTCCTGCCTCAGCCTCCCGAGTAGCTTTGACTATAGGTGCCTGCCATATCACCCAACTAGTTTTTCTACTTTTTTTTTTAGTAGAGATGTGGTCTTGTTCTTCCTCAAGCTGGTCTGGAACTCCCAACCTCAGGTAATCCACCTGCCTCGGCTTCCCAAAGTGCTAGGATTACAGGTGTGAGCCATCTCACTGGCCCAGACTATTTGCGTTATCTCATACCTCTCCCACCATTATGTATCTGTGAGGACAGTTAACTTGTTTCTTTGTTTCAAAAGTGTTCAGATTCTGAAGAATGGTACTCAAGGAGCTGTACCCAAGCTGTACTCAAGGGACTGGTCTGAGGAGCCTCTTCTGTACCTGGACCTGACACAGATGTGATCTTGGATCTTGAGCTTCTGAAATGAGATTTGTTGGGGTTGGGAGAGTTTTAGTGGAAGGATATGTGCTTTTGACATGTGGGAAGTATTTGTAGACAGAAGGCAGACTGTATTTTCCAAAGATGACTACAATATTTCCCATCTGTATGCTCTCTAGAATGTAGATCCTGGCCACTCTTCATTCAAGAGGTGACCTCTGTGTTCTCCTTGAACTTCAGTAAGCCTCATGGCTAGAGTGATAGTACATAGCTTCCAGAACTGTCAATTGAAGGCCATGCAATTCTGCCTTGCTGTCTTGGGATGCTCATTCTTTTTTTTCTTCTTTTTTTTTTGAGACAGAGTTTGCCCCCTATTGTTGAGTGCCATGGCATCACAGTTCACAGGAACCTCAAACTCTTGGGCTTAACTGATCATCTTGCCTCAGCCTCTGGAGTAGCTGGGACTACAGGTGCCTACCACGAAGCCGGGCTATTTTTTAGAGATGGGGTCTCCCTCTTGCTCAGGCTGATCTCAAACTCCTGAGCTCAGGCAATCCACCCACCTCAGCCTCCCAAAGTGCTAGGATTATAGGTGTGAGCTACCACACCCAGCATGGGATGTTCATTCTTGAAACTCAGCCCAAGTAGCCAGTGAAAAGACCCAGGTGGAAAGAAATTGAGACCCTTCTGTTTATAGCCACATCCACCGTAAATAAGCCTGATCTCATCTGATCTTGGAAGCTGAGCAGCGTCTGGTCTGGTTAGTACCTGGGAGAACCTCCTAACCACATCCCTGCCTGAGGTTCCAGTTAACAGCCAGCAGCAAACTCCCTACCATGCAAGTAGAGCCTCCAACTTCCCAAACTGCCAGATCCACTGCTACTTGGAACAGAAGTGATCTACTTCTACTGAGTCCTATTCACTTTGCAGACTTGAAGATACCTGGTTATTGCTTTAAGCTACTATGTGCTGAGGTGATGTTATACAACAATAGAGAATAGAACACACCTCAAAACAGAATCATGTAAAACATGAACAATCTTTTTCTCACAAATATGCAATTCGACAGAGCAAACTGGGACATCTCTTCTCTGCTCTAGGATATCAGAAGCCTTCACTGGGAAGAATCCAATAGCTGGGGGCTTGAATCGTGTGGAGGTTTTCTCACTCACATATCTAGCACCTAGGCTGACTTCTGCTCTAGTCCACTCATTGAACAGTCACAAGTCCATCCAGACTTAAAGGAAAAGGACATAGGCCTCCTGATCTATAAAACTTTGTGGCATTTCTTTGCTGGAGAAATGTCAAAGAATGTAAAGCTATTTTTCTTTGTTTGTTTTTTTTTTTTTAGACAGAGCCTCACTATGTTACCCTGGGTAGAGTGCCATGGTGGCATAGCTCACAGCAACCTCAAACTCTTGGGCTTAAGTAATTCTCTTGCCTCAGCCTACCAAGTAGCTGGGTCTACAGGTGCCCGCCACAATGCCAGGCTATTTTTTGGTTGCAGTTGTCATTTTTGTTTGGCAGGCCCAGTCTGGATTCAAACCCACCAGCTCCAGTGTATGTGGCTGGCGCCCTAGCTGCTGAGGTACAGGCACCGAGCCTAAAGCTATATATTTCATAAATGCCACAAACAGTTGTAATGTATTATGTATAAACTCAGATTTTCTATATATGTACTGACATTACTTGTGGAAAATTTTCAGCTATTATCTTTTGAAATATAAAATGCCATACAACCTGATGTCAAGGAAAGAAAGAAATGATTCCACTTAGATTGTCATGCTATGATTTTCCAAAGTCTATTCTTACATCAGGAAGTAAGAGGGGAAATGGGTCATTAGTCATTCACTCTTGGAATAGTTTGTAAATTTAACTATTGCCCCAACCCCTCCTCTCAAAAGATTCTTCTCTGAGCTCTACAGCAGTGGTTCTAACCTGTGGGTCACAACCACAGGAACTGTATTAAAGAGCCACGGCATTAGGAAGGTTGAGAATCACTGCTCTAGAGAGAAAAGGTCAGCTGCCTTTCCTCATACCAATACCCCTCTCTACGCTTTTGGAAAGACAATTCAACCCTACTATTAGTAGCTGAACAGAAAACATTGGATGACCATTCTCTTACAGTGATGGAAAAAGTTACAGCTTTTAAAGTTCATCTGTGGCTTAAAAACTAAACTGGAAGAAAATAAAAATTAACGAGAGGATCATTTTTATATTTTGATGTTGTATACCTCTGAATGTTCTAGAGCAAGCATGTATTACATTAGCAAAATTAATGACAAATAAAATTTATTCAATCAAGTTATCTAAAATACACCATAAATGGCAAAGATGTAAATTGAATGTCGTCCAATGACATATCTGATTCACACAGGATTACTGAAGATTAGAATCGGACCTTGAATCTCTCATGTCAACAACAGTCAAATGCATTATAATTTGGGGAAAGCACTCTTCTGGGTACCTCCCAGATGTCTGCAGAAGAAGGATATAATTTGATTCCAAGCATCTACCTGGGCCCTAGAATGAGGCCTGGGCTCCCCACCCCAGACCACAGGTTTGTGCAGTAATATATGAGAGGAAGCTGGGCACATGGGGAAGTAAGGAGGCTCAATGTAATGCCCAGTCCCAGGATAACAGATGATCTTGGGTTTCTCCTTTCCATGGGCCTGTAGCCGTTCAGAAGCTACCTGGGCATATAACTCACTCCTCCAGTTGTGGTCATCCTGACCAACAATGAAGAGGATGGGCCCCTGGGCTTTCTCTATTGGAATCATGCTGGGGTTCTCACAACCCCCAATCACGTCATTCCGTACATCCACAATGTCCAGGAGGCCTGGGAAAGCTACTTTGGTTCTCTTCAGGTCATAGCCCAATGGTGGGATGCTGGTCTGCTTATAGTATATGCCTCTGTTTCCACTGAACGCAGATCCATTGATGGAAACTGTGGCTGAGACATTGTTCAAGAATGAGGCCATTGAGAGACAAATATCAGCCCCTAGAGAAATGCCCAAAAGCCCAATACCTGGGCCCTTTACCTGGAAGAAAAGAGAGAAGAGTCAAAAAGTCATCCAACACAAAAATGTTTTTCTAAAATGCAACTAGAGATGCTACCAGCTTTAATCTGAGAATTGCCCAAATAAGTAGTTCTTAGCTTCTAAAAGGAGTGGACAAGTTCTGATGAAAATCTGAGAACATAAGTTGATATCAGAAGATTAAAGATTAAAAATAAGCATGCAATGAAAATAAATTAGAAGCTCAATTTGTACTACAAAAGGCATCTTAATATCATTAAATATAATTTCAATCTATCACCATCAATCCATCTGGCAGTGACAGTGAAGATAATAAGCTCAAAAAGTCTTGGCTCGGCACCTGTGGCTCAAGTGGTTAAGGTGCCAGCCACATACACTTAAGGTGGCGGGTTCGAATCCAGCCCATGACCGCCAAACAACAATGACGGCTGCAACAAAAAAATAGCCGGGCCTTGTGGCAGGCGCCTGTGGTCCCAGCTACTTGGGAGGCTGAGGCAGGAGACTCACTTGAGCCCAGGAGTTGGAGGTTGCTGTGAGATGCGATGCCACAGAACTCTACCCAGGGGGACAGTTTGAAGCTCTGTCTCAAAAAAAAAAAAAGTATCCAGAAGAGGCAGGGCATGGTGGCTTACGCCTGTAATGCTAACATTCTGGGAGGCTTAGGTGCGTGGATTGCTCGACCTCAGGAGTTTGAGACCAGCCTAACTAAGATTGAAACCTATCTCTACTAAAAAGAAAAACTAGCCAGGTATGGTGATACATGCCTGTAGTCCCAGCTACTTGAGAGGCTGAGGCAAGAGGATTGATTGCTCAAGCCCAGGAGTTTGAGGTTGCTGTGAGCTATGACAAATGGCACTCTACCCAGGGCAACAGAGTAAGACTCTATCTCCCCCCACCCCCAAAAAAAGGCTCCAAAAGAAATCTATGTGAGAAAGGAACAGAATAGCATCTCTGCAGCTGGTAGAAGCGTCACCCCTCTATGGACATATTTCTAGAGAGCCTGATTAAATAAAGGACATGGGAGAACCTGGGGGTGCTGAAGCATGTAGCATAAGGCTTCTTCAAAGTACTCCAGATGTATGCTGTCCAGTTCCTTGGGGAGATCCTCAAAGTCATAATAAGCTAGAGCCAATGTGGCAAAACCATGGCCAGCCAGAAGGCTGGCTCGATACTCCAACAGGCCCCCTCCAAGACCAAAGATGTCAATGATCCCTGGGAAGGGTCCAGGTCCTAGAAAACAGAAATTATAAAGGCAAGGCATTATACAATTTAAAGAATTTGCTTTCCTTTTACACATCATTCTAAATCAGCAGTTCTCAACCTGTGGGTCGCGACCCCTTTGGAACAATAAAAATACATTGCTGCATTACGAAGGTTGAGAATCACTGTTCTAAATCCTAAATCTAGTGGGTTCTTATAAATCAAAGGAAAGAGAGCAAATGCCTGAGAAGGGATACAAAGGTTCTTGGAGAGAGAAAAATCTAAAATAGAGTACTTTCTCATGGCTGATTTGACCCTCCAAATGATTCCATGCTAACTAAGAATCTTTAAGTAACAAAGGAGGAGTGATAATGTCTTTTATTATGAATACATCACGGAAAGAGGGATTTCACAGAGGGAAAGAGGGATTAAATGGTGTTGACAAAGTGCTCTGTTGGAAGGCTGGAACACAGAAATAAGGAAAGGATCTAAAACAGAGTTTTATGTTGTGTTACATCAACCCTCAGGGTTTTTGTGTACTGCTAATTTCAGGTATCTACTTAAAAGCAAGGAAAGAAAAGGAAATACCCAGAGTTGTCTTTTGGTGAGGGAGGCATAGAGTCTGAATCGTGATCTGCAGTAAAGCGGGACATGAAGAAGTGGAGAAGAGGCCTAGTGTGCCTAGGACACTTGAGACCTTTTTGACGGTGAGCATTTTGTCTACGATCAGTGGGTCTGATGCCTGTAGGGACCTTAAGGGAGTGCTTAATAGCAAACAGGTCATGTACCTACCAATCTGACACTAGCTTTTCCTTTGCCGAAGAGTAACTCGCAACTCGCGGGGATACTGCAGAGATTTAGTGGCATAATGTAAATAAAACGCACAGTGCAGAAAACAATATCAAAACCCTCCGCTTTGGTCAAGTGGCTATTGACAGTCAATGCCAGCTCTTCTGACCTTGCCCCAGGGCCAAACCGCAGCTAGAGCAGCACGGCCACTGACAGCCCAGGCCACCTACGCTCACACCATCCCCACCGCCCGGCTCACCTGGCGGCAGGAAGAGCGTGGCGCGCACCGGGCCCGCGCGCACCGGCTCCCGCTGCACCCCGGGCGGCAAAAAGTCGCGCTCTTGCACCGCCCGGCCCAGCAGCCGCCCAGCCTCGGGCCCGTGGCCGTCCAGCACCTCCAGCTCCACGGCGAAGGGCGTCTGCACGTCTCGCTTCAGAAAACGCCAGAAAGGCTTTTCGGGCTCCAGGGCCCAGAGCAGCCCCATGGGCTCGAGCCCCGCGAAGCTGCCGCCCAGGGCGGGCGCGCGCGCCAGGTCCAGCTC